GGGGGGGGGGAGAGAGAAAAAACATGTAATAGTGAATTTTAAAAATAGTTTAAGAACAAAAATGTTGAATAAAATATTAAGGACAGAAAAAGACAATAAAAGGATAAGAGTCTAATTAAAAAACAAAGAATTCTAAAATAATAAAAGTCTAATAAAATAAACAGAACTTGTAAGACTGTAAAAAAAAAAAAAAATTACAAGACAACAAACCATTTTAAGAAAATAAAATAATTTAAATGTACCTTATATATTACATTTAAATTTGATCATTGTTAATACATTTGACCGTTTATTAATAGACATTTGTGAAAGTGACTTATGTTTTATCATTGTTAGGATGTTTTATGTTTATATGTGTTACCAATTTTATTTTCTGTTTGAATTATAATGGTTCCTGTCTGCTTACCATTTTCAATTAAAATGATTATAATGAAATGAGGGTTTGGGTGATGGCATATGACAATAATTGTTTACATTTGATTACCACAATAAATTCACACACAACCGCTAAAACACCATTCATTAATTTACATAAGCAGTGTTCTAAACCACTTGCATTTATAGTTGATGTGGCAATATAATACGACATTTTAAGCCACATATTGTGCAAAAAAAGTTACCCCTCGAAAATGGGTTTCTCCTATTCATGTTTATTAATATATTAGCAACATAAACAGGTCATGCTAAAATATCTGTCTGTCAGAAGATAAGGGATAAAATGGCGATCACGATAATATGACAAATACACATACAGTGTTAATGGTCAGTAATGAGACATTCAGTGTTATAGGTAAAGTCATTCAAGACATTAACACACTCTCTCTCTCTCTGAATGTGTTTCTCAAAGAATGCAGCGAAAACCAGGTGAACAAGTTTGGACAAAAGTGGCCCAACCCCCAGCCATACTTTCTGAACATTTCACAATCAGAATATTTTGATATGTTATCGATGTTTAGATTTTAAACAAAACTTGAAGCTTCTCAGGAAGCTTGTGCTGAATTTTGGATTGCGTCGAAAATGTAATCTTTGTCATGCCCACAGGTATTATGACCTCATGAGAAGCATAGCTCATGTCAGAGCTGAGCAGTTTGTAAAATGGACACACCCTTCCAGACTGATACCCACAACAACATCGAAACTGACGTCATACTCTCTGTAGTATCTCTATCAACATCTCGAAGACAACTTCATGTCTGGATTTATGCTTGTTTTGTTGTTCTTTATGTACCACTGGCTTTGTGGATCTGAAACTTCATTTATATATGTAGCTCTATGGTTGTAAAACCTATTCTCTCGGTGTAAAGATGTCTAAGTCTCAACTAAACAGTAGGGCTGGATGATATGGGCAAAATTTATAGCATGATATATTTCTTAATTTTGGGCTATACGATAGGCTATAATTCCGATATCGATATGAACACTATTAAAAAAAGCCTCGTAAAAACTGCCAAGAATGCCCACAACAGATGTCTGTGCATCATAACACACTTATGAAAAATGAATTTGCCAAGTCTATGACACCTCATATAAAACCATATAATATTTTAGAGAAAAAAAAACAGCACAAATAAATTAATGTTCACCTTTTATTTGTATTAATCCTTCATACAAACAAGAAATGTGAAATCACTGTCAAATAATTGCCTCAGACTCACCTAATTAATATTAATATCTTTAACTTCAAACTATAGGCCAGGGATCCTCAAATCTGGCCCACGAGATCCACTTTCCTGCAGATTTTAGCTCTAACCCTAATCAAACACACCTGAGCAGCATGCTAATCAATGTCTTCAGGATCATTAGAAAATCACAGGTAGGTGAGTTTGATCAGGGTTGGAGCTAAACTCTGCAGCGCATTGGCCCTCCAGGGCAAGCTTTGAGGAACCCTGCTATAGGCTAACATACATTTGCCAAGTCTATGACACCTCATATAAAACCATATAATAATTTAGAGAAAAAAAAACAGCACAAATAAATTTATGTTCACCTTTTATTTGTATTAATCCTTCATACAAACCAGAAATGTGAAATCACTGTCAAATAATTGCCTCAGACTCACCTAATTAATATTAATATCTTTAACTTCAAACTATAGGCCAGGGATCCTCAAATCTGGCCCACGAGATCCACTTTCCTGCAGATTTTAGCTCTAACCCTAATCAAACACACCTGAGCAGCATGCTAATCAATGTCTTCAGGATCATTAGAAAATCACAGGTAGGTGAGTTTGATCAGGGTTGGAGCTAAACTCTGCAGCGCATTGGCCCTCCAGGGCAAGCTTTGAGGAACCCTGCTATAGGCTAACATACAATACCAGTCAAAAGTTTTTGAACAGTAAGATTTTTAATGTTTTTAACGAATTCTCTTCTGCTCACCAAGCCTGCATTTATTTGATCTAAAATACAGCAAAAACAGTAACATTTTGAAATATTTTTACTATTTAAAATAACTGTTTTCTGTATGAAAATATTTTAAAATGTAATTTATTCCTGTGATTTCAAAGCTATATTTTTAGCATCATTACTCCAGTCACATGATCCTACAGAAATCATATTAATATTTTGATTTACTGCTGAAAAATCATTTATTATTGTTGAAAACAGCTGAGTAGAATTTTTTCAGGTTTCTTTGATGAATAGAAAGTTCAGAAGAACTGCATGTATCTGAAACAGAAATCTTTTGTAACATTATACATTTCTTTATCATACCTGAAAAAAAAAATTTACTCAACTGTTTTACATATTGATAATCAGCAAATCGGCATGTTAGAATGATTTCTGAAGGATCATGTGACACTGAAGACTGGAGTAATGATGCTGAAAATTCAGCTATGATCACAGCAATAAATTACATTTTAAAATATATACAAATAGAAAGCAGTTATTTTAAATAGTAAAAAATATTTCAAAGTTTTAAATAAATGCAGGCTTGGTGAGCAGAAGAGAATTCTTAAAAAAAAAAAAAAAAAAAAATTAAAACTTTTGACTGTGTAGGCTGATTATTTTTATAGATTAAAACAAATGTGCTTTAGCCAGTATAAAGAGTATGAAAAGTGCTCTGAGTTGCTGCAGAAAACAAACAAACAAACAAAAAAAAAACACAACAAAAACATGTTGGAGACAGGCTTATTGAAAATGCAAACTGATTGTCTGCCAGCAGGAGGTGCTTTGAGAGTGATAAAACTAGCGGTTTCTCCAGTAATGGCTGTAATCAAATCAGCTCCGCTCATGAACGCTTCTTTATCAGATCAAATGAAAAAGCCATCGAAACTTTTCTGAAGACAGTCAATTCCCTTCAGAGATACATTCATAAAAAACACCCGCGACGTGTTTTGATTTCGAAACGTGCAGTGCTCATGTTTATTCATCGAAGTAAAACGCCACAAATAAATCAACGTATGGGAAACACTGGTAATGTATATCGAAATATCAGAAATATGTTTAAAAATCATATCACCGTTACTTAAAAAAATTATATCGCGATACATACTGATACTGAATTATTGTCCAGCCCTACTAAACAGACAGTGATGGGTAGCCAAGTATGGCTTCCCATACTCGGAATTTGTGCTCTGCATTATCCCATCCAAGTGCACACAGCAGTGAGTAGTGAACACACACACACACCCGGAGCAGTGGGCAGCCATTATTTGCTGCTGCGCCCGGGGAGCAGTTGTGGGTGCCTTGCTCAAGGGTCTCACCTCAGTCATGGTATTGAGGGTGGAAGAGAGCGCTGTACATTCACTCCCCCCAACCTACAATCAAACTTTGGGTTACAAGTCCGACTCTCTGACCATTAGGCCACGACTGCCCATACCAGGAAATATACCATCACGGGAAATATCAAGAATCAAATTTACATTTGCAACCTATTTATCACACTCTCCCTCATTTAAAAAAAACAAAAAAACATATCAAGATGTCACACATTTTTGATCAGTCTTCATTGCTTGTGTTTGAATGAAAATATGAAATAACCAGGGGTGCACATAAGTGGTACGCAGGAGCACATGCGCGACCAAAATAAAAACTGCGCTGTGTAAATAAGTTATGACAGCGCATTTGCGTACCGACATGGTTGACAGCTGTTAATGCACAATTACCATTTTATATCGACAAACTGTAATACTGTATAATATTTCTATATTAGCATTTTATTTTTAAGTTTACTATAAAACATTTGTATTTGTATTTAATACTCCCTTTTTATTTTAAAATATAATAGTATTATCACACTTTATTAATTAGTTTATTATTTTATTAAAAAAAACTAAATAAATAAAGTGCAACAATATTATCACTATGATTAGCTTATTTTTTTATAGTTGTATTTAATGGGTTACACTATGTGCAGTGTGAGGACCAAACCAAATCTCCAGGGGCCCGTTTCAGAAAGGAGGTTAAGTGAAAACTCTTACTGTATATGTTAACCCTGAAATGAGGGAAACTCTGGGTTTTCCGTTTCAGAATTGGAGGTATGTCAAACCTGAGAAAGCAGAGTAGGTCAAGCCCGTTTCTGAAAGGGAGGTAACTTATATTCAGAATCAGTTACCATGGTAACTTACTCTGTGAACCTAACCTGGGGCCCGTTCTTGGTAGGTCGCTAACTCAGTTAGCTGGATTTGATTGTTGACGATTTCGCATGATCTTGGATTATTTGGTTCTTCGAAACTCATCCTGGACTTGCTGTCATAGCAACAGGCCCGTAAGCTTAAACCTGCTCGGGAGCAGGCTTATTTCATGTAAACAGGTTTAGATTGCATCTTAGCTAGTTTTACTCATTGAAATATTTATTTATGATAAAATAATTATTGTATTGGAGTCTTACTCATGCTATACAGTTCATCTGCGCCGTGCATTAATTTGAGTGGTACGGGAGTGGCTTGACTGAGCACAGGAGATGCAGGTAACTTGATCTTGACCCCTAAGAAACTTTAATTAATGCTGTCACGGACTCACGTAACAAATATGTTTCAGAGATAAAATAAATGAATTGCTAATTACAACATTAAAATAAAAATGTAAAGCCTGTACAAATACTAGAAATTGTGAATATAAATAATTGGGAATCATGTAAAAAAAATAAAAATAATAAAAACAGTGCACATTTCATTTATCTATTATTACATTTATGCAGTTTTGTTCGCTTGGCAGTTTCCAGAAATTTGTCAAGTTTTTTTCGTCAGGTGTCTTTTTTAATGATATGATGTCATTACGATGCTGTCTTGCCGCCAATCGCTATTATGGGAGTGGCTTGATGGAGCGCAGGAGATGCAGATAACTTGATCTTGACCCTTAAGAAACTTTAATAAATGCTGTCACATAACAAATCTGCTTCAAAAATAAAATTACATGAATTGCTAATTACAACATTGAACTAAAAATGTAAAGCCTGCACAAATACTAGAAATCGTGAATATAATTAATTGGGAATCATGTAAAAAGTCACTGTCAGTCACTGATCTCTGGCTAATTTGGTTCTTCAAACGAATTTGCGGATTTGATTAAAATATCTGGATTAAAGGATTAGCTACACAAGATGAGTGTTTGAGGTTAAAAAGTATATACATTTAAATTTTTTTTAGAAAATGACCGATCTTTTCACTAGATAAGACCCTTATTCCTCATCTGGTATCGTGTAGAGCCCTTTGAAGCTGCACTGAAACTGTAATATTGACCTTCAACCGTTTGGTAACCGTTGAAGTCCACTATAAGGAGAATAATCCTGGAATGTTTTCATCAAAAACCTTTTAGTCTATGGTTGAACTAGCGGCCAATGAGGCGTCTAGGTATTTTATATGTCTATGCACAGTGTTGGGGGTAACGCATTACAAGTAACGCGAGTTACATAATCAGATTACTAACACAAATGTATAATCCCATTTTATTAACAAATGTCTTTGCTGCTGACCTTTGATGATCCAGTTCAACCATACTAATAAGCAAAAATGACTTTAGATAAACTAACAATTGTGCTTCATTGTTTTTTTTTATTGCTGAAGAGTGTTGAACCTTCTTCTCCTGCGTTCTACTGTA